TATTTAATCTAATTTTATATTTATTATATTAGAAATATATTATAAATTAAAAGTAATTATAAGAATAGAGTTTAAGAATTAAAGTAGAATATAATAAATATAAAATTAGATTAAATAAAGTTATAGTTTATTTTATAGATAGTAGTTTAGAGGTATAATATAAACTAAGCTTATAATTATTACAAACTAACTATAATATATATATAGTATTTATATAAATAAAATAGCTTAATTCTTTCTAAATTAGAGTTTAATATAAAAGGTCTTTTAAAGAATAGATCTTAATATACTAGAATATTATTAGTCTAAATAAGTAGGTTAGAAGTAGGTCACCTTATACCTTCCTCTAGGTATGAGGCTACCTCGGATACTTGAGGGCATCACGACAGTCTTAAAGGATACTTCTCTTCAAGGATAATCACTTGGAACTGAGAATTCGGTGAGCCAAATCATCTCAGGTTGAGGACATTACCTGAGTATTTCTTGTTTGCTTTGACCTGTGCGTCTCCGTCAAGAGTGGTTTGAGTTTACTGTCTCGGCGGTTGGCGGAATCCTCGCCAACAAGTACGAATCCAAAATAACAGGAGATCCCGAGATATGGAATCGCCTGGCTTGCCCTCTCAGCCAGGACAAATCTGTAATGTTTTTTACCTGCAGCTTTCTGGAGCAAAGAACGGCGGGTCACCAATTCACCTGCTGAAAGCATCTGTAAATGACAAAATCGGCAACGCTTTACGACAGGTCACCCCAAATAAGCATAGTAGTTTCCTTTCCCGACTTCGCTAATGTTGCATTTGATGATCGCTTGGTGGTCCAAGGAAGCAGTTCCATGATTGGATGTACTTACTCCTTATTCTAGTGGTAATTATTAATGTTGTGTTGTCTTGTCCCGCGCAGGCCGTGGATCGCACGTGGATTCTGGGCGCCACGGCAACTCCGTTTCGTGATGCGCCATCGGTATGCCCCATTAAACCGAGCCCGAAATGCCTAGCTCCGCTTTACTGGGCTCTCTCGAGGGCGAGTCGTTTCATTCTCGAGTAGGTATCATTTAATTATAACCAATTGCTGATAATCGATTGCCAATCGTTACGTCTCGGGCGAATCCCAACTTTGCTGGCTATGCTGGAGACCTCACGCCTTGCGGTCATGGGCTGAGGATATGGCGACTGCACCCAGTCCTTTGGCCCCTGGGTAGAAGGTTCGACGAATAATTACTAACCAAGTCGATTAACTGACGATTTCGATATGACATAGACCAAAGTGCGGTTTCGTGTCAAGCATTGAAATTGCAAGGGTTCCGCATGTGGGTTTCTACGAGCGAGACTCCTGCCAAGAATGGATCGCTCCAAATTTGTGACATGAACTTTTGACGTCTATCCGTTACACAGTTCTCTGAGTAGGTTGGTGGGTTAATTGGTCATTCCTGATTCCAAGGTCCAGTACGGGGCCCCTAAGAATACCCATTCACGTAAGCTCGGCAACCGACTCATATGGCCGTTCAAATCTTGGCTCGAATGCATCCTTGTGCCTTCCAAACCCATAGCCTACTGTCGGAGTCGGGAGCAAGCCTTCCGGTGCATGTGGCATAAACGACATAATCTGCGGCAATGCTGAAGGAAGTACGTAAGGATTCTCGCCGTTGCTGTAAAGAAACTCGTCCAAGTCATCCTCAAGCCAGACGGCACGCCCTGGTAACGCTTGGAATTCACCCTCATCTCGAATAAGTAGTCGAGGTCGTGTCGCCCGCCTCTGCCAGTCTAAAGTGTCGCGAATGCCAAAGAGGAGCTCTCTATAGTTGCCACTGTCTTTCGCGAACCATAGGAAGCTGAGCTCGACCGACCGTAAGGTTTGCGGGAGGGTAGTAAGAAAGTCCAGTAAGTCTTCCTGCTTAACGAGAAAACGCGAAAGTCCAAAATGGGATAGGTTCTTCCACGTCTCGATGGGGAAAATTGATCGCAGAGGGATAAAGTGATCGATGGTTGAACTTTGGGCGCGCCACAGTTCTTCAGGGTTGTCTTCTTGGTCGGTCTCCAAAATAAAGTATCGCAAATCACTGGCAGCTTCCAAGGCCTGCTTCAGGCGTCCGTTGCGAAAAGCACCGTAGCCAATGTAACCCTGATCGTCCATCATGAGGTTAAGCTTAAGCGTCGTGAAGCCTGGGTTTTTGATAATGGCAATAAGGTTTTCGTATTCAACGGCATCAACTTCAGGTTCTGGTGAATTGAAGATAGCACACGGAAGCCCAGTGCTGATCTGATTGCCGTCAAAAATGAGTTCCGTGATACCTGTGCTTGTCGGCTGCGCGAGAACTCTGACGACATGGCGAAAGCCACGCCATTTGTCCTTCACCTCCATGTACGTCTCTTTTGGGTGCCCCACTGGGAATGTCTTCACGATCTTATCATTCCAATCCCAACCGTCGAACTCCTCTCCGTGCAAAGGAGTTGGCCAACCACGAGGAAGCGGATAGATAAAACCGTCCGGAAGAGCACGAATAGCAGGAGTTGGATACAACGGGTTGAAAAGCATGCCATGTGCTGCGGGTGTGAGAGTGACTCTCTTCAGGTTAGGAAATCTGTCATTGTTCAAAGCCCATTCGAAAGCGACTGCATCAGCCGAAGTATTCGACAGCACTTGTTCTTGCTCTTTAAGTAGCTTCAGGTAATGTGCGTAGGCGTCTTGGATAGGCATCCCGGTGGCAAGCTGTTTCGATGTCTCGAGATGTTGCGGCAAAGTCTTGACATCCTCCTGACGTCTGTCTTCCAAGTTCTCGATGGTGGCATGATAACATCTGTAAAACCAGAAAGGAAGACCACGTGGATACTTGATCCATGGCCTATCTTCATTGTCTTCTTCGTCATTTTCTTCATCGCTCGAATGTTCGGAACCTTCATTAAGGAGGTCCCAGTCGCCTTGATACCTGCGATCCCGAGAGTCTGGAGTTTCGTAGCGAGATTCGTCCCAGACGATCTCGCGCACGTCGTGGCGGAACGTCTCGTGCTCTGCGACCGCGCGGAACACCTCCACGTTCAAGGGGCTGGCGCCTATGAAGACGCGCTTGAAGCGAAGGTGAGGGCTAGCGAGATTGGCAAGCTTCTTGCAACTCAATCGAAGGTTTTTGATGTCGATATTATCAATATGGGAGAAAACGAGTGCGGCTATCTCGAAGGGTGAGTTGGCGATGAAGTCGATAACCAATGACCCCGAGGGTAGTTTGGTTTGAGAATTCATCGTGGAGGCCGCCTAAAAAAGATGGAGAGAGAAAATAAGTCGAACAAATTATTGGCGCCATGTGCCTGTTGGTGCCTATTATATACTCTTTCCATTCAGCTGAGGTAGTGTTTGTTGGACTGTATCGGGTGTTAGCTCCGGGCGGATCAAGTGGAGTCAGTCCCGCCCATCATCCCCCTGCTGGAGCCAGGCAGAAGAGGCTTTGAACTTCGTGGATCACAGCTTCAGCCTGACCGCCAGGTCCGATTCGACCTTCTCGCAATCCTATCTCCCCGATATTACTATAATCACGAGACAAAGACAGGATTATGAGATCAAATAAGGTAGGTAGTTTGAGGAAACGTGGTTCAAATCGTTATTACATCTTGGCCTTTGCGTTTTCGGTCCAACCTAGTCCCAACAGTCTGTCGAGATTCCCATGAGTAAACAACTTCATCTGTTCCGCATCCAAAAACTCAATACTGTCAATGAGTCGTTTCCCGTCCTCATTTGACGCATACGGATAGTCCACGGAGAAGCATATCCGGTCCATCGGCATAACATCAACCAACGTCTTGAGCGGCGTCGTGGTGAACATGCCACTCGTGGTAATGTAGAAGTTCTCTCGCAAGCATTGAAGCGGTCCCTTTCTTTGCCCTGCCTTCTTCATCACCTTTCCGAGGGTATCCTCAATGCGGCCAATCATGACCGGAACCATCTCGCCACCGTGGCCAATGATGATCTGGAGGTTGGGCAGCTTGTCAAACAGCCCTATCGACATGAGTCTGACTACGGTGAGACCGACCTCCGAATGCCATCCCCAGGCTCCGGTGGATACCATGAAGGTAGCTTCTGGCGAGATGGTGTCTCCGCTAAATAGGACGTCGAGGGCCTTCGGACTCGGGAAGCTGGGATGGATATAAATGGGAACCCCAAGATCCGCGGCTGCCTTGAAGATTGGAAAGTATTTCCGGTTGTCAAGGAACTCACCGTCAACCGTGTTGTTGATGAGAGCTCCCTTGAACCCGAGTTCCCTGATGCATCGTCTGAACTCTGCCACCGCCTTCTCCGGGTGCGCGGTAGGTAAACATGCAAAAGCGGCGAATCGCGCTGGTTGTGCTTTGACAGCTTCGAACAGTTGGTTGTTTGTTTTGTGGCATCTTTCAATGTCTTTCACGTCGTAGACTGTCTGAGAGAGTACCTGGAATTACATCAGAGATTGCACATGCGGCTGGTTCCTAGACACTATTACCTGTGTACTGATTCCATATTTGTCCATATCGGCGATGCGGCCTACCCCAAGGTCCCGCAACTGCGACACAGGCCATTCAAAACCCGGATGATGCGCAGGGAGCTGGCCATCGAAGGCCGTTGAGCTGAAGTGTTCTTCAGCCGCGACGATTCTCATGTTGTTTAAGCTTTGATGCAAGGTTTTCAGTGGAATTGATGTCAACGTTCGAAGGCCGTCGAACGGTCGGGGATCACGCAGACTTTTATTCTTCCTCAGCAAACGCTGAAGCTAGCGCAGCTCGGTTTCTCATTCGGTACCGGCTACGGCCCACAGGGTGCTAATGAGTGAGGGTCTGATCCCATCATCGGTAACTCTATCGAGACCATGACGTAGATGCCCGGAATTCCGGCTTGGGCATTTCCGGCGACGGCGACGTTCGGTCAACGCTTAATGTCCGCCCGGGAGGTCCACCCATCGGTCTTCTGCCCCACTACCTCCGAGCCGTAAGCAACTAATTGTTGTGCGGCGTCGTGGGTCAAGCTTGAGTGGTATTATCGACTGCTCACATTACTAAGAACTTAGCGCGATTAAGTGCCGACGTGGCCATGACTTCGTGCATTAGGTTTAAGGGAAGACCTGGATTTATAATTAACAGGAGGACCTTCGTCTCACAGAACCGGAATAGGTACTGCCTTAGGAACAAAAAAAGCTCTTAGATCAATGCGAAACAAATCCAAGTCTTTCGGTTGACGACAAACGGTTACAGTGCATGTTTCCTTTCACGTTCGATCCCGTTCAGAACGTTTTTACATTGTTCTGTTAAAGAACACTCCAATCTCTTCAGCTTAGACCATACGTCTGCGGGGCTGTTGAAACTTCATCTCATCCATAACTTGCCTTCACACCACGCAAGTCTGCAATGCATTACACCAGAACCTGCAAAACGCCCATTACACTTCGCCAAAAAGAGTGAAAAAGGAAGGTATTGCCTCGAGGGCGAATCGAACGCCCGATCTTCTCATTACGAGTGAGACGCTTTACCACTGAGCCACCGAGGCATTGAGAAACCAGATCGTGGTTGGTGGGCCACAGATGCGAGCTGGGGCGGATGCAACCAAGCTAAGAGATGCAGAATTGCGATAGAGTGTTTGTTGTAAGCGAAAACCTCTGGGTGTTGTTGATTGCGTCAGATGTGCGATGAAAGGCACTTCATTCGTTGGAAAAGCCGTTTGAGTTATTAGTCAACGGCCGCGCGGTTCATCCCTTGCTCTCCGTCTGACAACGCCGGGATTGCGTGTGGGCTTTGCGCCCAACTCCGACCGATGTGCTGATACCGCGCGGGCGCCACCGTAAGCAGCCAAGGCGGCAGGAACATACCTTAAGCCACAACTGTTGGCTCATCGCAAAGAGGACGCCAATGGTCCGCGTCAACTTGCACACCTTGCATATTAGTTTGTGTCGGTGGTCAAGTTGCAGACCCCGCGCGCGCGCGCGAGTCTTTGCATGCAGTGGAAAAACCTCAAGGTGTCCTCAACACACAAGCTTGCATTTCTAATCGGCGACACGCTCAAAAGAAATGTACAGAACTTGCGTTACTTCAACGGCCAGCAAACTAAACCGCTGCCGATGTGAGGCTTGAAAAGGAACTTTGGTACGGAAGGTAGGTAGCAGTAAACGCCGGTCGCTTGCTGAGGAAGCAAGTTGTCTCATAAGCAATGCAGTGCTTGTCGTTGTCCTCGGACATCAGTTGCGAGTATAAAGTCAGAGTTCCTCGTGTCCCATTGAAAACTCAAGAAGAGGTTAATCGGTCAAAGACTTGTCATCGAAACTCACAACAAGGTCCCCTATTACCTCGTAACTAAGGGAAACATCCACTTCCACCATGGCCGCCGCCAAGAAAGTCGCTGTCATTGCTACCAGCACTCGCAAAGTCAGAATCGGCCCCAAGGTCGCAGAAATTGTAGAAAACACCATCACCCAAGATGCATCCACCAACAACATTGACCTTTCGCTCGTCGAAGTCGCCAACTTTAACCTACCCGTCTACGATGAAGTCGCCCTTCCCGCCCAGGTGCCTACCGTTGCCAAGTTCGAGCATGCTCACTCCATCGCGTGGAGCAGTGAGATCGCCAAGTACGACGGGTACATCCTCGTCGTCCCAGAGTACAACTACGGCATGGCCGGTGGTACGAAAAACGCCATCGACTACCTGTACAACGAGTGGATCGGCAAGCCAGCGGCCGTCGTGAGCTACGGCATCGCGGGCGGCAACCGGGCGTCGGAGCAGGTCAAGGGCACGCTGGAGGGCATGAAGCTCCGTGTTGCAGCGACCCGCCCGGCGCTGTCATTTGCGGGCGGCGCCGGTCCAGATCTGGTGGCAGCCATCAAGGGCGAGGTTGGAGAAGACTCGCGCAAGGATTGGGAGGCCAAGTCGGAGGATATCCTCAAGGCATTTGGGGAACTGAAGCAGCTCTTGGGCGAGTCTCCAGCGCCTAAAGCCCCGCTTGCTATTTGATTTACTGGAAGATCTTGTACATCCTTTATGTTCTCTTTCAGAGCCTGGTTTTATTTTCTGTCTTGAGGAATGTTAATCACCTTACCCAGCGAAGGGCGGAGTCCCACCTCGTAATGTCGCTTAACCCCCTGTCAACAGCATCTTGATCCTTCGTGTTAGTGTTGTTCTGCTCTGCTGCCTAGTACCAATGGATTATGATTGCTGTGCCGCATTCTGTGCCGCACCCTCTTGAAGCCTAAAATTCTCGTGAATCCTTCGAAACGTTTTCCCCCTTTCTTCTCTTCTCGCTATGCATGCACCACGGTCACTCACTTCTTCCCTCTTCGCCCTACCATGAGGTTGGCCGTCGTGTTCGCGGTCGCTCTATGGGCCGCAGCGGTAACAGCTCAAGTCCGTCTACCATTCACCCGGCAGTCTCATCCATTGAGCAGTAACGCCAGACGTCGTGATGATGATGAACGTCGCTCCACCTCAACAGTCGACTTCTTCAGCGCGGACACGGTCTATCTCGTCAATGTTACTGTCGGCACGCCACCACAGAACATGTCGATGATGCTCACCGTCCAAGCAGGGGAGACATGGGTGGTCAACGCCAACAACTGCGACGAGGACGGATATTCGCTCAAATACGGGTGGTGCAAATACGGCTCCTTCATGCCCAACGAGTCGTCGACCTATGTCAACCCTGGAACTGAGACGTTCATGACGAGCTACACCGAAGGGTACGCGTATGGGGAGATTATGAGCGAAACACTGAGCATCGGCGACGTCCAGTTGGGCAAACTCAACATGGGCATCGCTGACACAGCAGATACATACATTGGCGTACTGGCCCTGGGCTTCAACACGAGCGCGTACTCGCCTAGTCCCTACAGCTCCAGCTCAAATAATGCAACCAGCGAAAGTCTGCCTACCCTTCCTGACCGCCTATTCACTGAAGGCAAGATCAACTCCACTGCGTACAGTCTATGGGTGGATGATATCTCTAACGAGTCTGGGAGTCTGCTCTTGGGTGCAGTCGACAGGTCGAAGTTTGAGGGCCCGCTCACCCGGTTCCCGATCGTGACTAGCTTTTCGACCTCAAAGGTCTTCAACACTCGGATTCACTCTATCAACGGCAGCAAGTCATCATCGGATGCGTTTGAGCCCTTGGGCAGTCTTGGGTCGTCCTACAACGACAAACCTTTCGTCCGGATCAGTCCTCACAACATCGCGTCCTGGCTTCCCGATGACATCGCCCAAGATATCTACGCCATCGCAGGCGCGACGTGGCTCGAGTCGCAATCGAATTATGTAGTCCCTTGCTCTGCCAACACCTCAACTGCACAGCTGGCTATCCAGCTTCACGGCTTCGATGGGCCGGTTCTGAACGTGCCCGTTTCCGACCTCGTCATTCCAGCTGACTTTTGGTCGTCGAGCAAGTGGTCTTGGGACACTGAGACCGCAACACAATACTGCCTCTTTGGAGTACAGTCAGACAACTCATCGTCATCCTCAACTTCCACCACATCCGGCAGCTCAAGCTCGACATTTAGCCTCGGCGGCATGATGCTGAAGCGCGCGTACATGGTGTTCGACCTCGCCAACGCAGAAATGGCCATCGCGAAAACCAAGTTCGGTGGCGGCGCGACTGAAGACGTCATCCCTTTCCCCAGCTATGCTGCAGAGGTCCCCGGGTCTACCTCGGTCAGCGTCGTCGTTTCAGTCTATTGTCCTGTGGGCGCGACGTCTGACGAGTGCGACCCGAATGGATCTGGATCGGGCGACGGCTATGGTTACTACGACTCCGTTGGGCTTTCCAAGGGTGCCAAGATTGGCATCGGCGTTGGTGTTGGCGGGTTTTCGCTCATCGTGCTGGCGTTGACGGTATGGGCCATCATGAGGTGTCGGAGGATCAGGCGTGCTGAAGCGGAGCTGGCTGAGAAACAGGAACGCGTGGAAGAGGGCACGGGTGCAGCTGCCGAGGCTGGCATTGATAAGGATTTGAATCCTGCAATGTCACAACAACCTTCCGTTGCAGTCAAGGAAAGCGCATCAATGGGTGAGTCGGTTCAGGATGTGACGACGACTGTGATTGTCAAAGGGAACAAAATCGACACGTCAAAGCCCCAGTAAGGACCACTTGAGTTATGATAAAATATCTTAATGCAACATTTGATCCCCCCGTGCTCCGTAGCATGGGGTGTAGTCATACTTTACGGTAATCTTGCCTCTGCCCAATTGTCAGTCTCCAACGTCGATGCCAGATTGCCGGAGTCAGGGGACTGGCATCAGTCGGTTAGCACGTAACGTGCGGACCGATCCGGAACCTTGCGCGCAGCCAGTCATGGAAAGCAGCGGTAACCGTCCGAACTCGCCATGTGCAGCTAGGTAGTATGGAACATTCGCCGAGATCCGGTCAGTGAAGGCCAGCAACTTGGTTCGTCGACGAGGGAAGATCCTAATCTACTCGGGATGTCCATCTGTCGTCGCCAATTGCAACGTTGCAGATCTCTCATACCCTCATGAACCGTACGGATGGACTCAAAGTTGCAAAAGCAGGCGCGGATGCCACTCTGTAATATGCACAGAATCAGATGGCAACAGCTCATATGGTGAAAGGCCCCCTGGAAGGCAACCCTTTTGGAGATCAGGGGGCGGGGCGGGTGATGCGCCGGTGCCAGTCTTATCAGATCTCCACCTTCCGGAAGGATAATAAGTTCCGTAGGATTGTTGGAGGTGGGTGGAAGACGGGGTAACCCCGATGCCGAATGAGGATTTGTTGGAAGTGTTGTTGGTTGTCGTTGTTGCGCTGCTTTCCGAATGCCGCCTTGTTGGCTCCAGTCAATATAATACCTGCCTCAGCAACTGAACAGGAATGAAAAACAGCTCAGTCTACGTCACAAACCTCTGGAAGAACTGCCGCGATAAGCCGATATGAGGCTTCAGCAGATTCGTCGAAATGGCAGCATGTGCTCACGTTAGTCCTGTCCGAAAAGAGCGATAAGGGCCAGGGGTGGAGGGTCACATTCGGCCCCGACTCGGTCATTCGCTGTCAACTCACCAAATTCGGGGCACATGGCCCTTCAAGGGTAGCTCTTGAAGAATGCAAGACGTCCAGCCAATCTGGCGGCGTCGCTGGACATGCTAGCAGAGGAAAAGACCGGCTACACCTGCATTAGCTCCGTTGCTTCACCTTGCGCCAACCACTCACCGGGCACCATCACCAAGTCCTCACCTATGGTGTTGGCGGCGCTCCACCATGCACACACACGCGCGTACACACACACACACATACAAGCGAAATTCCACGCGAGATTCGCAGTGCGCTGGTGCAGCCAATATGGGCGCGCGAGGTATGTCATCCTTTGGTGGGTTGATGGCACGCTAGACCACACGCTTAACGGATCACTGTCAAATTGGTTGTAACCATATAAGCGTGACGCGAGCGACAAGACCACGATGCCTTCACGCGCCTCGTGGAAATTGCGCTGCGAATTCTTCACAAGCCAAAAAGCTGTCAGGATTGGCCCAGGGGAGTTGAGAGTTTGATTGGCAGAGGACGTAACGTTTCGCATGTAGCTCGAGCCAACTTGCACATACAATTTTCAGATGACAGGTGTAGTCGGAGGCAACAATGGCTTTGTATCCCTAGTTCTTTGAGTGTTTCGTGGGTGAGATCTTGGGTAGCGCATTGTCTAACTTCACCGGACAGAATTAGTATAATATGATCAGTTGATCGCCTCAAGTCCAGTGACGTTTAGCTGAGGTGCGGTACAGCCTTCTTCTTACACTCCTTCTATAGACTATTTAATAGCTTCCTCTTAATTTCGGTCAAGATGAGGTTCTTCCGCTCCTTAGTTGCTATCGCTAGCATCATGTCTCCCGCAATCCGTCTCACCGAGGCCTCACCGGTCAACCTCACCACCCGAGGCCTGAATGGCTACACCAACGCTGTGTATTTCACCAACTGGTATGTTGCCAGTTATGATCGAGACTACTTTTTATATGCTAAGTCAGATTCAGGGCCATTTATGGACGCAACTATCAGCCACAAGATCTCCCCGCATCTCAGATCACGAACGTTCTCTACGCGTTCATGAACCTGCGGGATACTGGAGAGGTGTAAGTTCCTTCGATATCGAGAAGTATCGATATCTCATCGCCGGTCTGTGACACTTTTGAGGCCTGTTTAACTGACATGTTACAGTTACACTGCAGACACATACTCTGATTTGGAGAAGCATTACGCCTCCGACTGTAAGCCCTGATGTATCCTGAACCCTACCGGACAGCTTATCTCACTACTACTCACTAGCCTGGAATGATGTCGGCACAAACGCGTACGGCTGCGTCAAGCAGCTCTATCTCCTGAAGAAAGCCAATCGCCGGATGAAAGTCATGCTCAGCATCGGTGGCTGGACCTGGTCTACCAACTTCCCGGCTGCTGCCAGCACTGCAGCAGGCCGATCTCTCTTCGCATCATCATCGATCACGCTTATGAAAGGTATGCATCTAGGGCACGACGCTGAAGCCACTGGAACTAACTTACGATGACAGACTGGGGCTTCGATGGAATTGACGTGGATTGGGAGTACCCTGCCACGGCGGGCGATGCAGCCAACTTCGTCTTGCTTCTTCAAGAGATCAGAAGCCAGCTGGATGCCTATGCTGCGCAGTACACCCCGGGCTACCACTATCTCCTTACTGTCGCATCGCCCGCAGGACCTGACCACTACAACGTCATGCAGCTAAAGGCCATGTCGGACATCATCGACGCCTTCAACCTCATGGCCTACGACTATGCCGGATCCTGGGATGCGAACAGCGGCCACCAAGCAAACCTCTTCCCGAACCCAGCGAACCCAACCGCCACCCCCTTCTCAACCGACAAGGCCGTGAGCGACTACCTCGCTGCCGGTGTCCCCGCCTCCAAGATCGTCCTCGGGATGCCCATCTACGGTCGTTCTTTTGAGCAGACGAACGGCATCGGTCAGCCGTTCACCGGCATCGGCAGCGGATCATGGGAGAACGGTGTGTGGGACTACAAGGCACTTCCTCGTGCGGGTGCCACGGAGCTGTACGATGCAGCCGCAGTGGCATCCTACAGCTACGACTCCAGCGCTAAAGAGCTCATCTCTTACGACACACCGGCTGTGGTAAGAACCAAGGTCTCTTACCTGCAAAGCAAGGGCCTTGGAGGGTCGATGTTCTGGGAGGCCAGCGGGGACGGGACCGATGACACTAGTCTGATGAAGACCAGCTTCGATGCTCTCGGTGGCAGTGCTGCGCAGGATTCGAGTGAGAACCAGTTGAGCTACCCGAACAGCAAGTACGACAACATCCGTGCGGGAGTGCCTGGGGGCTGAGGACTGGTTTTCTGTCTATGGTAGGGGGATATCGAACGAGTTTCATCGCTTTCCTTAGTTTGCTTTCTTTGCATCCAGTGCGGCATTTTCTTAGGTTTCCGGTGTCTCTCTGGACACAGAGTCATTGCACGAATCCGGTTTCAATCACTGTACATACTTAGGAAGAGTTTCATCATACCCACAGTCGCTCTTGAAACTACATAAACTTCTGCATTAAATATCTATAAGAATGCATCTTCACCCATGTTGGTACACCCGCCAAAAGATGTTGAATTTCTCTCCTTGCCTAATATGAAGGCTTCTGTCCATACACCACATAGCTTGAATGACGATTAGCCCTGAGGTTGGTGACGAAGACTGTAACAGGGGAAAAGCTACTCACTAGTTGAGATAGGCATGGTAGGTTTTCTTCTCAAGTTCTTGGCGAACTTCATCCAGAAGCTCCTGAACTGCTTCTTCGGTCCACCCGAGGACACTTCGAAAGAGTTTCAGCGTGAAGGCATCAAGACCTTCGAGCGTCTGAATCAGATTACACCACCCGAGGTCTTTCATATGAAGATCTTTGGGCCAAGGCCCGAGTGGGATCTTGAAATGATGACATTTAACGTTCGTGAAGGGTGCCTGTCTTATCCAGCCCTCCAATTTCGGGCCTGGGGAGTGTTCGCGGCCGAGTATATCACAGGCTTGCATGAAAAGCCGGTCCCACCGCATGAGTGCATGCTCCTCTGTCAACGTGCCATCGTCGCATGCGTAGAGCACGCTCATGTCGGAGAACTCGGCCCAGCCGTTAGGTTCAAGATTACTTTCATGGTGGGTTGTGTTAGATATGTACTCATTGTGCCATGACCATGTGTTCATCGGCTCGGATGTCATGACTTACTCGTAAACTCTCCCCACGAATGTCGGCCAGTCGCGCAGAGAGCATGCCATGTAGCGGACGTGGATGAAGTCAAAAGGCGCATCCATATACCATGCACTTTCGACGTCGTCGATCTCGAACTTGCAGTTTTGCGGAACCCTGCTCGCCAGTCAGCCTCCCTTGTTGAATAAAAAGGTATAGCATGAGTACCATTCTGGTTGAATCGGACTGAGGTCGTTCCCAATAACCTGTGTCTTTCTTAGTTCCGTGCTAATCGTCACCAGCCTGATGTAGTACGAACAAGTGCGTGTGGAAAGACGTCGGCAACCTCGATGGCCCCTTCAGTTTATGTTAGCCTTCGTATGAACATAAAGTTCCTTTACATGCCCGTAGTGCCACGACTTATTGTGATACATACAGGTGCCGGTTCCGGTTCCGACGTCGAGAATGCGGTGCATATTTTTGTGATTCACCGGAGCCAAAAACCACCGCCAACCGATGGTTTTTGAAATCAGAGTATGCATGAGATCTAGTCGTTTGATCTCTCCCTGGAGTAAATTTGCCGTAGCCTCAAGTCAGTGACGGGGGGGGGGGGGGGGTTGGGGCGGGNGAGGGGGGGGGGGGGGGGGGGGGAGGGTTGTGGCAGGTTAGGGGGCCACGGAAACGGACCTCATCATTGGGAAAATTGTATGCTGTCTCTAGTCAGCAACTCGCCCACGAGATTGGCGATGATCACGGCCGGCTCAGAATGAGAACTTACATCCTTCTCGGTATGCGTGATATCGCCGACCGTATTCTTTCTTGTGGTTTTTCACGCTCTCCGTCATGGACTTCGTGTACGAGGAGCTGCATTAAGTCATCAGCGGCTGCCTACATCGAGCTTGGGTCTTGCAGCTTCAGTCTCCGGCGGGATGAAGGGTACCTACATGCGGTCGTCAAAGTCCATGGTGGAATCGGCTAGCTGCGCAACCGTTAGGCTGTGCGTCTCGATCGCTAGTCGCGAGTTCTATTGGCACACGAACACTGTCAATGTCATCGACCTCCACCGCGTCCGACTCCTCGGCATTCGTGGGCGGGTCTAGCTCCATCTGGTCCGGTGCATAGCCCGTCGCGCGGCCTGCCGATGGGTTGTACATCTTGCGTCAAGCGAGCCAAGTCTTGGTACAACTGGCAGATCGTTCCCTGCTGCTGAGGCTGGAAGGTTGAGTGAGAATAGAGTTTCGCAGGACGAGAGAAGTTGGCCGCGGATTCGTGGGGTGATTGATTTGAAAAGGGACGAACCCCGCAGGCCGGCGGCTAATCGGTTTACGGTGTTTGTTGGAACATTGTAACGGCTGCGCCGGGCGTGCCTGGGCTTGTCGTTGACCGGGGTGCGAGTGGATCTTCGCGGTCGTTACGAGTGCAATACTGGTCGTTAAGACGTGGATTCACACAAGCATCACGAACGATAACGCATGCAACATAGAGTCAAAGCACAATTGCTGAACTCATATTAGCATTCTCCCTATCAGGAGAGTCTACTCACCTATCCATCTGCGCTCACCTTCGAACGACATCGGAATATGGTTCACAGAAAGCGGTGAGCTATCACAGTTGTTGGTAGCTAATGTGACAAGCTGTTGGTGCAAGCTGTTGGAACCGGCAGCACACATTGCTAACCTGACCAATTATCAGCGGGAAAAGTTACAATCTCCCCTGTATCCGCAGGCTCAATTAAACGATTTCCCCGAAAATGTATTTGGACAGGGATCACGGACCCGGATAGGATTCAATGCCTGTCGGATCGCAATGTCTGCGATCTTTTCACCAACCAGCCAACAAGTCACCAGCGAAAAGTGTGACGAGTCCTTGTCGGGCGGCTAGTTACCGACCCAAAGCTTGTGCGAGACCCCTTCGTCGGCTACGTACAAGTCCTCGTCCGTTGAAGCGCATTACAACTACCGCTAACTCGTCCCGTTGGTTGATGATTTGGTCTTTGCCTCAAGGTTCTGCACTTCGTCGCTTTGGTCGCAGTGCCAAAACTTCAAGGAGCATCAATTTACCATTCATACTCATCATCACAATTCCGCAACGAGAAAAGTCCAGACTAACCATGCGTCTGCGCCTCATGTAGGATTCGTGCTGTGTTCCACAGTCCGCCTTCTCTCCCCGGCGAAGCCACGCTCATAGGCTCGGTTTAGAAAGAGACGTCTATTCTGGTGATTTGAAAGAGGGATAATTCACAGCCCTTGCTCTGAAGTCAACCTCCACCTTCCGAGACCTCATTCTGGTAAACTCGAACAACAAGACGCCCCAGCAGACGAGACTACAGATGAGATATCGGCCCACAACCCATATAGCATCCGTGACACGCACGAAAACGATGCTAGAGAGACAGATGACGCCGAACAGGACTTGTACAACATTCACAACGTAAAGCACGCTCAGGTTAAATATGAGAAGCTTGCTTGAAGCGACGGTTTCTTCGGAGTTTTCGCCCCCGTATGGGTTCCGAACGCCCACGGTGTTATTTGTCTGGACAACTTGAGCTCTGACCTGCGCCATCTCGCGAGCAGTCTCGTTTCTTGGGGACAGGTTTGGTCTATATTGATACGTCGGAGGATGAATGCCCAAGCAATGGTGTGGCCGGCTATGCACGGTAGGGTCCAAACTAGAGGAAACCCCGGCGCCAAAGGAGCGAATGTGCATATGGCGCGGCAGCTCAACTGGTATGTCGTGAATAGATTGAGAAGAAACATGGAATTGACCAGCTCATATATTGCAATGTCAGTATGAAAAGAATGCCGACCAAATTGGGTATACTGGCATTTCCGGGGGGCGTCCCGAGGGACATCCCTTCGGCGAGATTTTCGATGCGATCAACAGTTTCCGTCGCAGATAGGACTCTAATACCTGGGGCGGCTAAGCTGATCAGGATAGCCAGGAATGGTCGCCGCATTGCCAGAACGGCCGTGTCAGCCATCGTGGGAATTAGTTGCTGCAAGAGCGGCGGCGCGAGCCCGAGAACGAGAGTCGCGGCAGCCTGCCCGGCCTTCAGAAACTCGGGATAATTCTCCAGGATGCAACCAAACGTGCCGTAGGCGATGCTTCTTGGGTCTTGGCAATAGCGTTCGAGGTTTTAACTGCAGTTCTAGTTCTCCGCGAGGATGTGCGTGATGTCCGTTTTCCATTCCGAAGTCCGTTGGTCATGCTGATTGAAAGAAAAACGGAGGCCGTGAACAAGATGCGTACACTGACTTACGGCAAGGATGAATGGTGCATACATGTATATACGCATGGTGGACGAGAGGAGAAAAGTCATGATGATTGTGAGAAGGGAAATTAATGAGGGGGATATATCTCGCCGCTGCCAGAGCAACTAACCTGAGCACCAACACATTGTGTATACAAAATCTGAAGGGAGCAGGAAACATCCAGGTTCAGCTTCAGCTTGTCTTGGATTGCATGATGGTGCTCACACCCCGAAGAGGATAGTCTCAAAAATAGAACAGCCATTAGATACCTTTCAAAACGCCCATGGCCAGTAGGACGAGTATAAAAATTGACAGTAGAATCCGTGGGTAAGTAACATATCCGTTAGTCAAAGGGGCAAAAGTCGTCTCTCCGAGACTATTTACTAAGTCTTGCGATAGAGTTCGCTATTTCTAACAGTACAGTCTCATTCAAATATCATCGCAAGAGCAAGTTCCCTGAATTTGCTCAATTTATTTGCGAGGCCCTCCACGGATACCGTCCCTTTCCAGCGCCGGCTTTTGATGGCAAGATCGCACACATTTCACTCGATCCCCCGGTGCATATTGATCCAGATCGGAACATCAATCAGGTGAAAAATCGACCCGAGAGATTCCACGTCGCCCAATGGACATTGCATGTTGGAGAAAAAGCAACTAATTGGGATGCAATCAACCCCTGAACTGCCGTGGGCGCACGACCACGTGTAACAGCGCAGGCCAATCCCACAGCGAATCAGCCCCTGAAGCGTGGCGTCACACGGGGCGCAAGAGTCACCTTGAGCCACTAGGAATTCAAACCACAGACGCGTCTCCCATCCAACAGCTTCGGGCGTGTTTCAACCGCGTCATTTTCTTTGTGCCTCGCTCATTCTCACCACTTCACCGTCAACTCTCCATCCTATATTTGACGGAGCAACTTCCAACGTCGCAACCTCTTGCTGTCTAACACTCACCTGCACATGTAAAACCACCACCCGGCAGCGAAATATCATAACCCGCACCATCCGCCAAAGACCAGCGCAGCCCAAGCCGGCGACGACTCCAAAGATGGACCCCCTGTGGTTGGCCCCGCACGACCGGGACGAGCGCTGCTGCAAAGGCTGCGGCAACTACGGCAAGCACATCGACATGTTCGGCTACTACTGCGCCGTCTGGGACCGCAACATGGCCGTCGCGGGGCGCACCATGGCCGAGCGGGCCTTTGCGCGCGCGGAGCGCATGCTCGCGGCCGCGCAGGAGGGCGTCGACGCCTGGGAGGAGCAGATCGAGGCGCAGGACGCGCTGGTCGACTCGCTGCGCGAGGCGCTCGACGCCGCGGAGGCGCGCCGCGAGGACCTCGACGAGAAGCTGGCGGCGCAGCAGGCGCTGTGCGAGCGCGCGGAGCGGCAGAAGATGGCGCTCATCGACGTCATGCGCGCGGCGGAGTACCGCGAGGAGGCGGAGGCTGCGGCGATGGAGAACGCGGGCGAGGAGGCGGGGAACTTTGACGCGGAGATGGAGGGGACGGAGCGCGTGCAGGCGCTGGATCCGCATTTCTGGGAGGCCGGGACGGAGTGGTGGGATGAGGAGACGGATGACGAGCCGGAGGAGCTGAGCTTTGAGCAGTCGACGGCGTATTATGCGTGGGAGCTGGCGTACAAGCGGAGGATCGCTGGTCGTAGGACGCATGAGGCGGAAAGGCAGCATGGGCGGCGGAAGCGGGCTGAGCGGCAGCTGTACGTGGAGAGGAGGGTGCGCGAGGCCGAGGCAGCTGGGCGAATGATCGATGCGGATCACTGTGATCACCTCGTGCGCTCACACATCCGGGCGAGGGAGCAGCAGGGCAGACAGCATGCGGCTCGGGAGTACGCCCAGGAGCAGAGACAACGGCTGAGCCGGGTGGAGGCGTGGGCTGCCGGCGTGCAGACGCCTACGCCGGGGCCGTCGGTGAAGCAAGAGGACGAGCTGTCGGAGCTGCATTCGCCGGCCATGCTGTCGCGGGTTTCGGTCAAGCGGGAGGGCACGGGCGAGGATCTGTGGCGGGTGGCGTCGGCTGTGCCGGATCGGACGGACGTGAAGCAGGAGATGAAGGTGGAAGAGGACATGGGGGAGGATCAAGAGGAAGAAGAAGAGGAGGAGGGAGAGGAAGAAGTAGAAGTGATGGCGAGAGCGCCGAAGAAGGAGGAGCCGGAGCCAGAGTCGGAGCCGCAGCCGGGGCCGAGCCGGAGTATCCCCGCGACTCCCCGTGCCCCGGCGTCTCCAGCTGCTTCCGGCCGGCCGCAGCGAACGACCCGGCGGACACGGAGGACGCAGCCGTACCCGAGTTGAGGGGAGGATAAGACGCAAAGATGATGAGACCCACGTTGGACACGGAAGTTTACTACACATTTTCGAAGCGAGAATACCACAATACAGACAAGATCACCATTTGCCTCTGCTCGGTCATCCGTCAAATGTTCAAGCACTATTATGCCATTCTTCAGACAATACCAAGTCTCAACGATGGCCGAGTTAGTGTACAAACAACCAAGGGGGAGCATGCTGCAGTTCGATCGATTGGCGTGCTTCAAAAAGCACAGGCGACTAGCAAAAATGAAAGCACAATCCCGGTTCCTTAGCTTCCGAACATGCACCAACCGCTCGCATGGCCCGAGTCTCACTCGGGAGCGGGAGCGGGCCGGCGGGGCAACATTGCACCGTCACATCCGCCGCCGGCGCCGGGAACGCACTCGCAAACCGCAGACCGAAACGAACACTGTGCGCACAGTTTGCCAAACTCTCTTGCATCATTGCACAAAACACGTCAAACACATTTCCTTTATGAATTCCACCTTGCGGAGCTTCAGACCCAAGAAAACCCCGTTGGAGCGGACCTCCTGACCCCCGTTGCCCCCTTCTCGCCTCGGAGCTACCCCTGTCAAGGGACCCTGCCAAAACCCAGGGTCGCCGGACCAGATAGGGGTGCTCTGCTCCAGGAGCTCGTTTCCTGGACGCCGCAGCCGAAAGTGCGAGTTTCCTCACCCCAGCAAGAGCCCGCCGTATCCGCAAAACGGGGCTCACCTGAAGACGCCATGCCGCTTTGGGAAGCAATCTCGGTGGAGAGCTACCCAAAACCTAACAGATTTTATGTAAATTCTGGGGCCTCGTCTTATGGGGATCATCGGAAATATCCTTTTGTTTTCTTCTTCTGACGGAGCAACGGCGGCGCTGCAAGTTGCAACGGGTGTGCGTCCCCCCCCCCATGCACCTTGTGCAACGAATCGGCACAGAAGGCGGCCCCAATGAAACAGTGGAGGTTCTAGAAGTTCTCTGGGTCTGTCGCTCGCTCGCTCTGCGTCTTGAACATGCCCACCCGGAATGTCAGGGTCGCATGCGTTCCGGCAGGCCGCGCAGTAGTGTTGGGAGTTTATTACCAGGCCGCTGGGAGCGAGGAGCTGCCGGGTGACATGGCCTGCGAGTCGTGTGTGCTTGGGCGTACATACGTATGCAGCACGCATCATCGCGTGACGTGACGGATTTGTGAAAGATGTCGGTGAGGCGGGAAGAAGCCTTCATTACTCGTCGTCACTGGAGCTGCAGCATGCACAGCTGGAGTCAATTGCAAAGAGTCGGTCAAGCACAAATGCCTCAAACTCGTATCACCAGAGCATCACAAGTTTGTTCACTGCGAGATGTGCTGCTTTCACACGCAGCAGGGACCAAATCTCTCGAACCCAAGGTTCCGGTAAAACTCATCTGGCATATACTAGATGGAGCTCCAATATCCGTCATCGCTAACTCGTAACGAGCCCAAGCTATCCACACTTTGGCCGGCTCTGCCCAACCCCTGGCCTGCCTGCACAAGAACCCACCGCAAATCTTTCAAAGCGGGAACCGTGGACACAAAAAAAGAGGATCGTGACCCTTTTTTCCCTCGCTGCTGTTGGTGGGCAGACGTCAGAACCCCGGCCTCGTTGCCAATGAAGCTGCGCCGTTTCGCGAGGTTCGATTGCTTTTTGAACCTGACACCATCCCCATCCATTCCCATGGGCCCCCTTCCCCTCCCCCATTTACCACGTTTTTCCCGCCGTCCACCTTTGATCCCTACATTTGCTCTTGCATTCTGGACTATCTCGTGATAAACACATCTCCACCGCAGAAGCAAGATCGATCTTGGAGATTCGCAAGAAGCAACAGAGAGGTGAGGCAGGTTGTCAATCTTCCGGATCCCCCTCCCCTGCCTAGCTCCCTTAGGGCTGGACATGGGAATGGGAGATGGTTCCCATCATTGAGAGGCTTGATTGCTTACACTACAATGCCACAGCCACAACGGGTCCCTCCCCCGACGGACAGGGACGGAAAAGATTGAAGCAAGCTCGAGCAGAGCACGAACATACGCCTGATCCGACCAGACCGGAAGACCGAGATTGGAACCAACAACACACCGGAAAGTGCGGGACGGGAAGCACGGGACAACACACAATCACCGACCCGAGACACAAGCCAGTCCGGCCACAAAGCCGGCCATGGACCCCGACGCCTGCCGCAACTGCGGCCACTCGGGCAAACACACCACCTTCCTCGACCACCGCTGCGCGATCCACGAGCGCGACGACGCCGAGCGCGACAAACTCCAAGCCGACGCCGCCCTCGAGCGCGCGCGCTCCCTCTGCGAGACCTCCCTCACCCTGATGAAGCGGCAGATGCAGGAGCTCGAGGACGCCAACGAGGCCATCGAGGCGCTCGCGGCCGCGCTCGCGGCAGCCGAGGACCGCCGCGAGAGGGTGCGCCGCGACCTCGGCGCGCACGGCGATGTGTGCCTGACGGCACGGTCGAACCTCGAGGCTGCGGAGGAGATGGCCATCGCGGCGGCGGGGCGGTACTTCGAGGCCGGGCGGGCGGTCAGCGCCTTGGAGGAACAGGAGGCGTTGGAGGCGAAGAGCAGCGAGCCGAGCTGGGAGCGGGAGCAGCCGGGGCCGGAGGAGGATGGAGAGGAGGAAGAGGGGGATGCGAGGCGGTGGCAGCGGAGCAACGAGCGGTTCTGCAAGTGGTTGAGGCAGAGCGAGGCGCAGCGGCAGATTATGAAGTCGTCGTGGACGAAGCTGCGCGTCGCGGAGCGGCTGGCGGGCGAGGGCGCGGAAGTGGACGAGGAGCAGGTTGCGAGGGAGAGAAGGGTGCAGGAGTGGGCGGCGGCGCGGCGGAGCGATCTACCCCCGGACGAGGACCCGACGCTGGTCACGGAGGAGGGCGCCGAGTCGGAGCCCGCGGCGCCGGTGGTAGCTGTGGCGGTGGCCGTGCCGCCTACGCCTGCGGCGACGAGGTCCGGGGCTGCGAGGCGGGCTGCTGCGCCGGCGCCGTTGAAGACGCGGGGCCGCAGCGGGAGGACGGCTGCTGCTGCTGCTGCTGCGCCGGTTACTGCGCCGCCGTCGCCGACGAAGACGACGACCACGACGACGGGGAGGGCGCTGCGGATGGCGAGGAGGGTGGAGAGCCAGACAAGGTCTGAGCCGAGCAGGCCTACGACGGCGACGAGGGCGAAGAAGGAGCCGGTGACGGCGAATCAGAAGGCTGCGGCGACGAGGGTGACGAGGGCGGCGCGGACGGGGAAGACGGCGGCGGCGGCTGCGGAAGCTGCGGCGGCGCACGGGGCGAGTGCCGGGAGCTCCGGGGCGCTTTCGTCATCGGGGAGGCCGCAGAGGGTTACGAGGAGGAGGAGCAGGGTGCAGCCGTACCCGACGCCGGCGGCGCAGCCGAGGTGGAAGTAGAGATTGATGGTTGTAGTTGTAGATTGTGTTGTCTTTATATACCCAGTTCGTTCGACCGGGGCAGGCTTGGGGGCACCGGAGTTGAGGGATTGAATGATACACGCGGAGTTTAGATACCAACACGTTTAGACTGAATGTTCTTTCCATTTGTTCCATGACATCTGCACTGCTTTCAATGATCAAGTGAGATAGAGATAAGCTTCAAACATGGTGATGGTATCTAATCAGCATCATCATGATAAGAAAGCACCTAGGACGGATTACTTAAACCGCATGGCGTCATCCAGCCCATCCATCGCGACATGCAACTCTAAAAGAACCTCCACACCGAATCCGCCCCTCTCTTCTTCTTGAAACCGCTGTACCACCGACACAGCGGGTACATCACGCTCATCACAAACGCCCAGTTGAGCGCCCACACCCACACATTATCAACCCCCGTCGCGGGCCGTCCGTCCGGCGGCGGCGGCAGCCCCGTGTCGCGCCCGATCAGCGCCACCAGCAGCAGACACATGCTCATGAGGATGACCATGTGCACCACGTAAAAGAACAGCGCGGACGTCCCGAAGGCAAGCAGCACGCCCAGCCAGCGCGTCGCGAACTTTGGCGGCACGGCCGAGAAGGCGGCCAGCAGGAAGAAGGTGCCCGTCAGGGTGAGGCAGTAGAAGGCGACGTCGGGCGGGTACTTTACAATGTAGAAGAAGGACGCCGCGGACGCGAGGTACGGGTTTGTCGCCGGGTGGGCGCGGTGCTCGGGCGCGCGGAGGCAGTGCTCGGAGAGGTTGCCGACGTGCAGCACGCGGGTGAGGACGAAGGCGGCGAGGAAGAGGAGGCCGGCGGCGGCGTTGGCGCAGACTTGGGATGGCGCGGGGAGGTGCGGGCGGGCGGTGACGAGGCGGGCGTAGAGGAGGCCGAGGATGGCGAAGGAGAGCCAGGCGAGGGGCGGGAAGGGGGAGACGACGTGCGGGGAGATGACTTCGAAGAACCAGAAGCGCCAGAAGTCGTTGGCGGCGGAGGAGGGGGAGGGGGTGTTGGCGGTCGTGGTGCAGGTGCCGTGGGTGGGGGAGAGCCAGATGTTCCACCAGATGGTGACGAGGGAGAGAGCGAGGAGGAGGGCGTTGTGGGCGTGCCAGGAGATGGTGGTCGCTTTGGAGGAGGGTTTGGTGCCGGAGGGGGTGTGGTGGCCTGCGTGTTCGAGCAGAGGTTCCCTCTCGCGGCCGCCTCCATCCGTGAGGATGTACCGGTCGAGGAGGGATGCGAGTGCCGGCTCCGTGGCGGCGATGCCGAGCCAGAGGAGTCCCGCGAGGACATAGTCCACCCCCAGCGCGACGAGGACGACGTTCATGAACCAGAACCTGCCACCCGTGAGCACGAGCCCGAGGACGACGGAGACCAGTGTCAGCACGGCGCCGCGGACGGCAAAGTGGCGGGCCATGCGGGCGGCGGACCAGCCGAGCCTGCTGCGGGAGCGGCCGAAGTAGACGACGCCCATGCCGAGGAGGAAGGTGAAGCCCGGGGCGCAGAGGTGGGAGAGGGTGCGGACAAGGTAGCCGAACCACCAGTTCCAGGAGTCGACGGGGACGG